GCGCCCCGAGGCGACCGAGCCTCTTCTCGCCCCACGAACACGGGTTAATGCTCCAGCCTCGTTTCCCAAAGGCTTATTTTTTTTCCCATTGGTGGAACATATATATGTGTATATTTTAATGAAGGTATAGCCTAAAGTTTGTTGGTTTCTAATACTAGAGTGGGGGGACCTGGTCTGACAGGCTCCCTGGCTCCCGTGGGTGTTTTCTGTGTTTGTGGCTCAATGTTTGCCTGAGGACGTCTTGTTAAAGAGAGAGCGCTGAGGAGCGACTGCGTTCCCAGGTGTTGGAGTAAAGTCCTATCGTGTCACTTTGCAGAGAACTTCATTAGCCGTCATTACTGATAACGCTATTTGAAGCGGGGGAGGGAAAGGTGTTCTTGAATTGGCTTGTTATGCCAAACTGGAGGGGCAGTTCTTGTATGCTTTGCACTGTGGAGTTGAAAAGATTTTGGATTATGGATTACTGTTGCCTCTTAACTTAGACTTCTCTCTTTTTTTCTTTTTTCTTTTTTTTTTTTGTCTCTGCTATACCTCCAGACATGAATGAAGAAAGCAACAGCACCAGCTTTGAGGTACAGTGTCCTTTGCCATATTTATTCCCTTGTTAATATTTCTAGAAGCTGAAAGCTAATGTACCTAATATAGTAAGGTTTGGTTAATGTCTTTAGAGGCAGTGTTTTTATCTTGAAAGAGCATTTCCTGATGCTTTATCCTTCCAAAGCTTTCAAGATTTGTTCCAGTTTTTGTGTTTTGTGATTGCAAACCATCCACTCTTTTTTTTCATATTCTAAATTGGTAGCAGGATGACACAATTTAGGTACCTCTTGCTTGAATAGTACATTTGTAGCCTGAACAGGTAAGAACTGCAGAATTCTCTGACAACTAGCTCTTGTGTTTATTCTTAATCATAAATAACAAACTTGCAGTCCACCAAGTCACGTGGTGCTTTTAGAAGTAATGAAAGATAAGGCCTGTGATAGGAAATAGTTATTCTAAGAACTGAAATACATATGCAGCATGCTTATACATGGCTTGAAGGTGTTTTGTAAAAATCCAATATCTCTAGTCAGAATGTAGGCATGTGGATTGGTGTGCTTGTAAGCTACAAGGAAGTCTGATATTCTGGACAATACTAATTTTAAGGTCATGCTTTTTCTGCTGATAAGTGTTTTCTACCCCTCCCTAAACGGAGTATGTCTCACTGTTTGCTTTTAATTGCAATATGAAGTTGTTAAATTCTCAGCAGAGCTGCTTGTTGTTTTGTGCTTGGTACCCTGCATGGGTGTGAGAATTCTTTAGGTAGCTGTATGTGTTAATTATTGTGAAAAACCATTAAGAGAACATTAACAATTCTAAATCTTCCTGAATGTTAATTTTCTTGGAAAAAGCACACATGTTGTTCATGATAATATATACTCTTAGCATATTACTGCTTGATTTTTCTGATGCAGCAAGCGTCTTTTCGGGGTTGTTCAACAAGCTTTTTGTGGAGTTTGAGAATTGTTGAGGGTGTATAAGGGATGTGTAAAGTCCTTGAATTTAGGTGCTGATTGTAGCCGTGCTAAGAGGCGTGAAGGATCTGTTCTGCGGACTTGGGCTGATGAGACTGTAGGACTGGCGATACAGCGGTGACTTCCGTAGGATACCATCTTGTTATGAAGAACCGCTCGTGTGTCTCGGGCATCTGGGAGGTTGCAACCTGTCTACTTGCATTCTCTTGTTCTGTGTATCTATGGTTGCTGCTGCTTTGCTTTCCCTAAAGGATTGCCTCTATGCTTTAAAATGAAAACCCACAGAGCTCTGTGACCACAGTCGTGGTAGGAATGTTGATGGTTGCAAACACTGGTGCGAGCACCTTATAAGACCCACTTCATCTTTCTTGGAGGTCTGAATTTCTTCTTTCCCTTTTCGCCTTTCTCTGAGGCATGAGGGTTGTGTGTGTGCACGTGTGTGTTTTATTCTTTTGCTCATGAATTTGTTTATTCTCCTCATATAGCAACAACATTGACTGTCAGTTGGTAGCCAGTATTTTCCTTATTGTACGGATCAGTGTGATCTCAAATAATGAAAACGTACTTATCCCTGACGCTGTCAAGGGGGAATGTGTTAAATGTCCACATTAGACTTTGACAAAGAACAGTGAGTTCTTATATGGATGCGTTGTATTTGTTGCTAACAGGTTTTCAACCTTTTCTTTGTTGACGTGACTTTGCACTGCAGTATTTGGGTCCACTGCAACCCCACTAATAATAATCCAACATTAATCATGATAAAATTCGTTTGACTAATGGCAGGAGGATACAGTGTTGATAT